GGCGGCTCCGGCTCGCCTCCTGCTCCGCCTCCTCCTCCCCCCGGCCGGGATGCTGGAGCGATGGAGGCAGCTCCGGGCCCGGAGGTGCAGAGGGGGCGGGCCGCCCCACGGGCGGCCGGGGGAGGCGAGAGGCAGAGAGCAGCCCCGGGCAAGGGGAGCGAGACCGAGCCTGGGCGCGGGCGGCGGCGGTGGCTGTCAGCTCGCGCGGCTCGTCCTGCTCCTGCTCGGGCTCCCGCTGCCGCGGCTCTTCCTCCTCCTCCTCCTCCCGCGCCCGCCTCCTCCACGCCGCGGGATCCCACCTGTTAGAGCGGCGCAGCCTTAGCCGCCGCCCCCCCTCCCTTTCGCGCCCGCCCGCCGGGCTCAGCCTCCGCCCTGTCCCGGCCCCTGGGGGCGCGGAGGCCGTGGCGCCCGCAGCCGCCGAGAGGCTAGAGCTGCAGGCGCGCACTGCCCAGCCCTGGGACCGAGTTCCCTTGGCCCGTGCCTCGCAGGCCGTGCTCCGCCGGGACCGCAGCCGTCCCGCGAGGAGCAGGGTGCGGACCTGGGCTGGGCCACAGGCGCCCCTGCTTCCTCGGCCGCCCTGCCTGACTTAGCCGGGCAGGGGCGGTGCAGAACAGGCCTCCTCCCTCGCTGTCCCTGGTCAAGACAACTAGCCTGACCTCTTCTGCGCCCCGCAGGGTTCCGGAGAGCCCCAGGGGGAGGCAGAAGAGAAGTGTTGCCCTGGGAACCCCAAGCCAGCGCCCTCTGAGCCCCCTAAACTTCCTCCCCTCAGATCTCTTCTCAAATTCCTTCAAATTTGACCGACCTACCCCTTTGCCACGACCTACCCCTTTGCCACGGGAGGGCCCCACAGCCGAAGGCAGTTTCCAGGTCCCAGGAAGTGGTCACCTTGGCCTGTGGCCTCCTTCAGGTTAACCCACCAAGACTGCAGATGACCTTCAACACACCCACAAATTCATCCGGAGGCACTGTGGCTTCCTGGGTGCTCCTTGGCCTAGAATTTCTTGCTGAATAAACTCAGGTGGCCCCACCATCCCCCAGCTCTCTGGACAGCGACAAGACTCACTGACCTTGGGCAAAGCAAACCCCCTCCCCTTTAATGAAATTACCAACATAAATAAAGGCTGAGGCCAGTTCTCCAGGATTTCAGCTCTCCTTTCTTAAGGGCCATGAGGAATTACCAAGACTCCAAGCTGCCTACCTTTCCTACCCCTTTCACCTGGAAACACCCACCTCATATCCCCAGACACTCCCACAGAAGTCTCCAGACAGGCCTAAGGGTAGAATTTTGGCCAGTACAGAACTACTTAGGAAATGTAGGCTACCTCCACCCTAATACCTACTGTGTGCAGCTTCAAATTACCCAATTCACAAAAACTCAGGTTTGTGTGTGCTTAGTTAGTAGTAAACCATCTCACTTTCCACCCCCACCTCCCACCCCCCAGGCACCACATCAAAGATTCTGCTTGTAGGTATGGCTGGCTTCTCTCTCTCTCTCAACCCCCTCAGCACCTTCTGACAGAATCAAAGCCTCTTTTCAAATTGACAGTCCCTGACAGGGATGGAGTGCCCCAGGAGCACAGAAAGCAAGCACAGGCTGACTTGTTCTTCCATCCTCATCTGGAAGTGAATAGGTTATTAGGGAAGCACAGGTGAGCCCCGTGTTTGCCTGGGTTCTCCTAGGCTCAGTCCCTGGTTGTGTGCCATATCCTGGCGAGGCTGAGAGAGGCAGAGGACTGTCCCATTTTACAAATGAAGACCTGGGGCTTGGAGAGGTGACTCAATCTGCTGAAGGTCAATGCTAGGTTTCAGCTCAGACCTGCCAGGTTCCGTCTACCACATCACACCAGAAAAGTCCCCCTGTCACCGTGCTGGGAGGGATCCCCACACTGTATGTGCTGCTCACCAGCTCCCCCATCTCCACCAGATGAGACTCGCCAGCTGCTCAGGGCCCATGGCTGACTCATGCCGGTAAGCCCAGGCCCTCGCACAGCACCTGGCACACAGTAGGTGCTAATAAATGCTGAATGAACCAAACAGAGGTCTTCCAAGCCCTAACCTCCCTCTGCCTTTCACATAGGGGATTTATTTTTAGATAATTTGGTGTTCCCATGTTACTTTATATACAGCAACAACTCCACAGTCAGTTTTCCTCTTCTTTATCTTCCTAGGGCTCTTTTTGTTTTCACGCCAGCAGGCCTGTTTTTCAGAGGTGACCACTGAAGCCAGAGAAGGAAGGCCCCCCGGCTCTGGGGGTGCAGGGATAGAAGCACAGATTGGAAGCCTGTGCCCTGGCTTTTCCCACGTGCTGACCTCAAGCTGACAGGAGAGCAGAGATGCTAATGATCACTTTCAGCAAAGTGTCAGCCTCCTCCCACTTGAGCCTGGCTCTCTCCTCCTTTCCAGGGCTCACCTCAACAGCCACTAAGTCAGATACATCCCTATCCGATCAGATGTTGGTCTGCCTTTCAGGACCCAAAACCAAGCCTGCCTGAGTCCTGACATTGCCATATCACAGTGAAGAGAACAGGGGTCACAGATAGCATCAGACAGACCTGGGGTTGAATCCTCACTCCTGTCTCCCATGACACTCTTCATGCCCACAAGTCCCATTTAGCTGCTCTAACAAAATGACCCATCAGACCACCCGTTGCTGAATGTGAAGGTCATGGAGATACAACCTTCTCATCTGCATAATGGGCAAGATGTCCCAGATGTCAAAGTTCACCAAAATAACACCTATGAAAGTGTCTAGCAAATAGTAAGTGCCAATAAACATCATTTTTCTCTTTCCAAGGAGCTGGGGATACTGTCCATGTTCCATTCATTGAACAAACATTTCTGGAGCACTCACTGGGTTTGGGATATGTAATATCCCCAGTGTAGTATCTGGAGTAGCTCTGGGTTTGGGGGAACTTGGAATCCCCAAGTTCACTATTTTCCATGAGCTCACAGACAGGTAGTAAATCGCCTTACCTATGACAGTTTGGGAAAAGCAGCATGATGGAAATGGGAAGCTGATAGTGAGTAATGGACAAGAGCGTCTGCCCTTCTCAGGGGGCTCAGGGAAGACCCCTCTGGGTGGCATATGAGGAGACTTACATACCAAATACGTAAGAGCCAGTTGTGCTAAGATCTGGAGGGGGAGCATTCCAGACAGAGGGAAGAGCAAAGACAAAGGCTCTGAGGAGGGAGATGGGCATTTTCCCAAAGCTAAGAGGAGGTCAGTGAGATGAGAGTGAAAAATGGCTGACAGGCAAGAGACTTGGGAAAACTTAGGGTTACATTCTAGATGCAATAAGGAACCATCAGTGAGTTGGCTGCTTAATCGGAAGAACTGGGGAACAGTGGGAAGGGAAGAACCAAGGGCAAAGACATTGGTCCATGGATTTGTGGTCAAAAGTTTTAGGGACCGGACACCTGATTTTCTCCCATAAATCAGTTCACTCCATACTCTACACATCTCAGCCTCTTGCCTTGATGGGCACAGAGAAGGGCTTCTACGGCCAGCCTTTTCCCACTTTTGAGGTAACAGTTCCCCGGACCATTGGCCACTTTATTCCAGTGACATACTCGAGGACAGATTCTGTCCCAGCAAATGATGAGTAGGGAGTGAATTTCCCACAATGCCTAGCTGGCAGAACAGTGAGGAATCACGGTCCCAGGAGTCAAATGCTTCTTTCTTCCCATTCCAGACACCTGCCAAAGGACCATGCAGGCTGCCCCTTAACCAGCGGCATCGAATTCCTGGATTTTTTTTTTCTACCCTTGATCCAGATGTTCAAGGGATTTTGGGACACACATCCATCCCAAGCACATCTGAAGGGTGAACACCTCAAAGGCACACATCTGATTCAAACACTTGATGGGTATTCACCAGAGGGTCCTCAGAGAGCACACAGAAGATTCTACCTTTTAAAGATGGGGAAATTGAGTCCCATAGAAGAAAAGAGGCTCAGAATCAGAGGGTAGAGTAAGACCGTTGGCTTTTGCCTGGTTCGGCACAGATTGTCATTTAAATAAATTCTGACTTCTGGACCCTCCAAAATGGAAATGTCTGTGATTTAAAGGCACCTTCTTGCCCTCTGTAAGTTCTATGGAGACCTGTCTACTGAAGAGGAACAGGGAGGCCAGGAGTCTTAGAGAGCAGTGAACTTGACTGCCAGGTGTGGGTGCCTGTCCATAAGTGGCTTGCACAGCCACTTGCCATCCCACATCTCAAAGCATGTCCCGTTTAATCTGTCCAGTTTTGCCACCTGCAGCCACCCCACCCAAGAAGTCTTCCTGACCCCTTTGATTGATCAGAGCCTTGCACTGGTTATTCCCAATATCCTTGTCGCATGTGATCCCATAATGTTATAGGCACACACAGTACAGGGGCTTAGATTATTAAATGAAGAAACAAGTAACCAATGAATGAATGGCCAAGTGGGCTGGCCCTCACAGTGCAAGCTTCATGCAAGCTACAGTATTTTCCTCTTCGTTCCTTGGCCTCTCCCGTCATCAGTCCATCAATATTAGTGATGCTCCTCCTAACAGGTGCTGCCACATGGATGACCTCACATGGGTTTCTTTTTTTTTTTCTTTTTTTAAAATTTTTTTAATTTTATTAAATTTTATTAGTTTTAATGAACATTTACAGGGATTTTGGGTTTTTATTCCTTCATTATTGCACCATTTTCTCTATCCTCCTCCCCAGTTTGTTCTTATTCCCCACCATCCGAATGTCTGTTTTAATTGTCCAATTGCCACAGTGCTTGTCAAAGTCAGTTCTGATTAATCTCCTTTGTCAGTGT